TTGACAATAAATTGGCGTTACATTATTACGGTCGAATTTTATTTGTACAAGAACTTCTTCCACTACTTCGATCGTCACAAAATGGTGGTAAAGTTCTATTCATATTCGATAGCGTTCATGGAAATCCATCTAAAATTAATTGGAATGATATGGCGCTGGAAAACACATTTTCGCTATCATCAGCTGCCAATCATGCAATGTCATTTACTGATCATGCCATGCAATATTTTGCCACACAACCAGAAAATACAAATATAACGTTTACTCATGCATTGCCAGGATTTGTTCGCACAACATTGGGTGATAATTTACCATTTTGGGCTCGATTACCATTAAAATGTGCCAAAGCCATTGGTTTAGGAGTCACTTCAGAACAATGTGCTGAATTTATGATCTATGGAATGCTCGGAACGGAGAGTGGCTGTAGATGTGTCGATGACAAGGGACAAACAGTAACAAAGAAAAGTCCGCTGCAAGAAGAGATGGTTACAAAAGTCTGGGAACATACATCTCAAATAATTTCTCCGAGTAAATGAAAATAATACGGAACCGTGTAGATTTTTTCTCATAAACTTAATCATTGATACTATGTATTTGACGCTTGTAATCTAAGACCTAACGATATCTTAATTAGTTTTTGTATTTTACATATGTTTATTGATACATAATTGTATTTATCAATTATTCCTGCAGACTATCTCTCGTTTGTTCAGAGGCAATAAAAACGAGAGGATTTTTCATTAGTGACAATCAGTGACCCATATAATATAAACCTGAATAGAATATATGCTCTTTGTTCGAATATTTTAACATGTGATAATATGAAACTGAAAACGAACACTTCATTAAATAAAAATCAAAAAAACAGATTTGTCGAATACTATTTATTTTTGTTTTTACAGTTCACAATTATTTCTCTTCTAAGTAAAACGAGACACCTTAATGAATATTTAAATAACATAATCAATCTTGTATGAATTAAGAAAATTTGGAAAACGCTATTTCTCTAATTCTTATATATGAACAATAATATTTTCTTTTACAAATTTTCTAAGGTGCTCTTGGCGACAAAAGCTAAGAGACGTTTTCAAATTAGAAAGCTTTATTTTGAAAAAACGACACATTTCATTTTACATGGATTACATAGGTCTTTTCATGATTTAGTCGTTTGAAGTCCATAATATGATTGCTCTGATTGAACATCCTCATATAATGATTTACGTTGTTGAATATCATTTCACTATTATTTTCTGTTTTCCTCTTGTTGTTGTAAAATTGATTAGTTTGAGACGAACCAGACACGTCGTGTAACATAAAAGAGAATACACTATTGAAACATCGAGTTCTATAAATCATTTTGTTTATTAAACTAGAGAAAAACAATCAAATCGCAGTAGATGTTGATATTTTTATGTGGTTTTATAATTGGCAAATCTAGTTCGAACATGGATTGCATGCTATGTTAAATTATTCTTGTCACAATAAAAAAATACAGTATTTTCAAAAATTTATCAGGTACTTATATAAAGTAATATAAGCGTCTCGATCGATATTCATGTTCAAATTGAATCTAGGATTTGTCTGTCTTTTTATTAGTATAGCAAATTTACTTTAAATATTGTTGTTATTTGTTGTTTTATGCTACCAAAATATCATGCTTCATGTAATTATGAAAAATGTTCTATATATTTGAAAGGTGTGTATTATCGTGAAACACTTGCAGTGAATCTTGATCTAAAAATTGAGAATCGTGGTGTTACTGTTATTGATTATTTAAAATTTCATTGTCTACCTTGTATTATGATAAATATGGAACATCTATGTTGCCAATTGAAAAAATTAATGTGTTTCAAATATAGCCATTGTAGTGGAATCAAAAAGAGATTTTCTCTTCTAATATTTAATAATAAAACAAGTTGCTTTTGATTAAATTGTGTTTGATTAACATTAGTATATTGTTGTTCATTTGATTTAATGTTAAATCATGATTAACATTTTGTTGAGGCTCAGTCATTACTACATCATTTGGTGGATCAGATGAAGTTTGATTCGTCATTGAAACCTAAAAGATTATGTTATGTAAAATCGTATGTTTTCAATTGCAGCGCAGTTACACACAACTATGTCATACTTCTTCGCAGCTACGACTGAAATTTGTTGTGACTGTGCCATAACTGTGAAAAACTGCTACATAGTTGTGCACAGTCGCAATTAAAACAGCGAGTAATTAAAAACAGGTGGCATGCAATATATGTAATTGTATATTTACGTTGTTTTATTAAGCTTAAAATAGTTAACTGCTCTAGACTCTTTGATTCCTCCTGCGGCAGTACAAATAAATAACAAGTATTTATATAAGATTTCAGATAAAAGCTAGGATATACCATTAGATAACATAAAACAGTTGAAAACATACATCAATTATTACATCCAAGCAAGCAGGAAACTAGAGATCTGCGGAGTATTCCTAAACCTGATTTTAACTCTGACTCTATCGCATTCAAATTCATGATCACCTTTGATGGAATTTTGCCATTTCAAATAAGAGCAACTGTACTCTTCAGCTTAACCAACAAAAAAAAAAGAAAGATAACAGTTGCTACATATATTAAGAACGAGTTTCAAGAGAAAAAACTCATATTGATAACCTTTCGGCTGTATCGCTCGAAATATCGGCCACGTGAAAGCATAATGTCATCAATGAAAATATATTTCAATTTCATCAGAAGTACTACAATTCTCTTGATCATCAGTTTTCGGTTTCTTGGACATAGTACATGTCGAAAACTTCTCAGTAATTATTTTTTTTTATTTCCACGAAACAACAAATGTAAAAGAAATTCCAAATTAATCTGTTAATGATTCTTGGATTTTTCTGCACTTGTTTGTTTCTTTATCGATTAGGAGCTACATTACTATTACTGGTAGTAAGTAATAGCATATAAAGTTATTAATTTGCGTAAGTAATTAGAAATAATCTGCGAAAGTAATAAAAGTAAGAAGCTAAAAGTGTTATCAAGTAATATAGTATTAAAACTAGTAACTCATAGAAGCAATATTGGGTGTGAGTATGGGTGGTGTGGGTATGAGTGTGATCGTGGATGCCTTCAACAAGGAAATTCACGCCCACACGCCCACACCCCAAATCATTTCTCTAGCAACCATCGTAACTAAATGTTGATGTAATTATCATGGTTATATTTTTTTCGATTTATACAAAACGGAAATTTTATGATCAAGAAAATTGCGCTAATTGACGACTTTCTCAAATGAAAAATATTCAATAATCTATATCTATCTATTTTCATTTATTATTTCCTTTGAAAACTTGTTTCTATCTTATTTTTATGAAAATTAATTAATTGGGTGTGGGTGTGGGTGTGTGGGTGTGAGTTAGAATAACCAACACCCACACCTACACTCACGCCCACCCACACCCACACCCACATCCACACCCACCCACACCCACACCCACATCCACACCCACCCACACCCACACCGACACCCGCCCACACCCCACACCCATACCCACAACCATACCCCCACCCACACTCAGCTACACCCCAACTCACACTCAGCCACACCCACAACCACACGCACCCACATCCTCACCCACCCACACCCACACCCACACCAATACCCACATCCACACACCCACACCCTATCGATCTACATTTGTATTATTTTTGTTTTCGATATTTTTATTTTCGACATTTTTCTCTTTCGGTATTTTTCCTTTCTATCTTTTTCCGTCATACCCCACACCCACGCCCACACCCACATCCACACCCTCCTTTATTTAGTTTCACAGGAGATAGTCATAGTTTGATGACTTCGATCATTTTTATCATATTACTCACTATCAGTATTACGGTTTTCACAATGCTACTTTTCCTTTTTAGTGGAAGTTTTATATAAGACAATGACAAGAAAGCAATTCATTAAAAAAATAGAACCCAACGTACAATTTATTTTAAAATACTTGATAGTTTTGTCTATTTATCATGAATTTAACTGAGTCAACTGACAAAACAGTCACACATCTCACGAACGATAACAAAGTATCACGTTCTTTAGATGATACTTTTCCAATTATCTTTCAAGGACAGTTTCAACTAGAAAATGCTATTTCCTGAGATCGACCTATGGGATTTTATCGACGGTAATCACTAGTTTCAGTAAAACTTTTGAGTTCAGAAGATCTTGAGTACATAAATTCTGTAGAACTGAAGATTTTAGCTTCAGATACTTTCGCAAGTTTCACCGTTGTACTGTTAAAGTCGCGATATACGCCCATTAGGAAAAAATTTTTCGGAATTTTTGAGTTCTCGACTATTCGACTATTCAAATATATGCATAACCATTTAAATATTCTACGATTGATGCATTGAAAATCTGTCACAGAATCGCTTTTCTTCAGAAAAAACGCAATTTTCGCATATTAATTGGGAGCGATGAACAAACGGAGTGACCGTGGAAGAAAGATTAGAAACGTCCATGTTGTTGAGAATTATAGATCACAGAAATAAACTTCATAAAGACAATCAGACACTGATATTCAAAAAGAAAAAAGACAAACATTTTCTATTCTATAAACGGGATCGAAGAAGCATGAACATTATAAAATGAAATCTTGGGTGGAAGAGGGTGGGTCCAGCTATACGTTATGTTTCAGGTCGATGAAGTGGTCGTATGGGTATGGGTACGTGGATAGCTTACCAAAAAATCTTAAACATCACGCAACTGCACACCTGCCCAAACCAAATCTCCAAATGGATATTGATCGACTAGAGTTGGAGTATGATCTGGGCATGAGATGTAATTGCGAATTCGAATGTGAGTAGGTCGCATTTATACCCAAGCCCAGACTCGCATTGACATATACACGACAAAAGCCGTCGCACAACCGACTTCTAACGTCGGTAAATAAATCAAAGCGACACTGCTGAACGCAGACGACTTTTTCAGAGGAAAAAAGCTTCACTGAACATCGAACACAAAGAAAGGTTCTTGTTTAACAGAAAGAGCAGAGTTTTATCCTAACTTTTTCCCGATCTATTGTGTCGAGGCAATAATATTGTATGCATGTTGTAAGAGCCTGCTTGTAGCTGTGGGTATGGGTGGGTGTATGGATGCCGGTTTGCATACAGAAAAAACCGATACCAGCTCACACTCAGACCCCCTCTCCCCACCGAAATCGGTCGTGTTAACTGCATTTAATCCCCGTTACCTTTAGATTGGAGTAATCCATTATGAAACTCACCCTTTGAAAGAAAGTCACATCTGCTTAACATTATAAAATCTGGCAATAAAATGTGTGATGGGTCATATCTTTCACTCTAATGATGCTACTTTGGAAGAACTTATTATATGATTTGGATTTTAGCAGCATTTGTAAAGAGTAACAGGGTTTTCTGATGTGATCTTTTAGCTAAAACTCAATTTGAACCATGAAAGCTCAAATGAACGCTCACAAAAGACTTTTTCATAACACTTTTCTACGAAAATATTCGAAGAAAGTCTTTTTTTTCTATTG